ACGACACAAACTGAAAATAAAAGTCTCAAAACCCGAACCAACCATCCTATGAGACCAAAACTGAACTTATATGGCTAACCGCGGTGACAAAATATTGACTACAGTAAAATTTTGGCCAAAAGTTAAAAGTTAAAATACCTAACGGCACAAACTAAAAATGGAAGCCTCAAAACCCGAACCCTCTATCTTATTGCATCAAAAATGACCTTCCGCTTCTAACTGCACTGACGAAATTCTCATCTGAGCACGTTTATCAAATATATTGACCGAAGTAAAATTTTGGCCAAATTTATAAGTTAAACACCTAACGGCACACACTAAAAATGAAAGCCTCAAAACCTGAACCAACCATCCTATTAGATAAAAAATGACCTTTGGAGTTAATTACGCCGACGGAATTCTCATCTGAGCAACGTTCACAAAAATATTGACCAAAGTCAAATTTTGGCCAAAACATAAGATTTAAAACACCTAACGGCACAAACAAAAACGGAAGCCTCAAAACTTGAACTAACTTTCCTGTTAGATAAAAAATGACCCTTCGAAGCTAATGACACTGATAGAGTTCTAATTTGAGCACGTTTACCAAAAATACCGACCAAAGTTAAGTTTTGGCTAAAATTTAAAAGTTAAAACGCCTAATGACACAAACCAAATATGAAAGCCTCAACACTAGACGCTGATTTACCAAAAGTTTAACTTCAATTGATAAATTTACCAACTATTCAAATATAAGTTAGTAATTAATAATTTACCAATAAATTTTATCACAGTTGGTAATAGTTACTATTCAACTAAACATTCATATGTAATATTACCAACTAATAATTAATATGTTGGTAAATTTTACCAATGGATTAATGATCGGTTGGTATATTAGCAACTATTTTAATGATGTTAGTAATTTACTAACTACAATCTTTATTCGTCGCCAAAATTTTCAACTAATTGGATATTGGTTGGCAAGTTTACCAACAAATTACATTTCGTTACTAATTTACCAACACATTTATATTTGGTTGGTAAATTTAGCAACACAATCTTGCCGTTGGTAAATGTTTGGTTAGTAATTCACTGGTAATATGTTAATAAATTATATAAACAATTTTTTGTCATATTTACCAACCGATATATACTTCGTTGGTAATATTACCAACAAAAGGTGTGCGTAAGTAATATTTGGTTGGTAATCGGTGAGAATTTCGTTGTTAAGTTTTAAAATATAATTCAGTTAGAAATATGTTGGTAATTTAATAGTGGAATACTAACCAACTTAAGTTGTTAGCAAAATCTGTTGGCAATTTAGGGTTTTTTTGTAGTGTTATATTTTGAAACGTGTATGTATATATTACATAATAATTAGAAAGAATGATTGGAAAGATAATTATATTTTTGATAAATTTGGATACTTTTTTTATACATCATTTTATGATATGATTTTAGATAGAAGAATATAAAGATTAGAATTAGGTTAGAGATTAGTTGGTAGTCGATCATAGTAATTGTTAAAGAATGACAAAAGTCCTACATCGGTGGTTAATGAGATGGGTGGACACCTTATAAGGCTTGGGCAATCCTCCTCCCTTTGAGCTAGCTTTTGGGGTGTGAGTTAGGCCTAAGACCTAATTTAACAGTATTACTATTGTTACTTTCCATGCGGTTTTATTTTTCTATTCGATGATTACCAATTATTTCTTGTGTTTCGATTATTTGTTATTATCTATTAATGTTGTTTTTCTTGTTCTTTTTTTCTACTTTTCTACGATGTGCCTTTAGTACTGTATTTCTTT